CTCTGAATTGACTTTAAGCTTTTATGGGCCCAGACTATGTGCATTTCTCTATAATAAGTATCTGGAAATTGTATGCAATTTTAATTAATAAATATCTCTTTAGTTTCCGTACTGTATGTAACTAATTTGGAAAAAAACAAATTGGAAAAGAGATAAAAAAATTCTCTGAATTTGAGGAAAAGTATGTTTTTTTTTTCTTCTTTACTTCCAAAGTCAGAAAAGAGCAAAATGAAACATCAACATGATGATGAATGTACACACACATGCATCATCATTCATAGTTGTACTTGTCTGATGATGATGATTTTTATTTACTTTTGGTGAAAGATGAAAATGGGGAAATTGTTGAGATTATTATAGAAAGTTTAGAAACAAAAATGGGACCAACCAAATGAAGTTTTTGGTTGTGGAGTTTACTGTTATTCTTTTACCTTTTTTACTAGTTTCTTGATAATTTCACTTTTTGCTGTGAACAATTGGCATATCAAAACAGCAAAACCAAAAAATGTAAGGCTTTGGTTTAGTAAAAAAATGGAAACCAAAGATCAAATCAATCAAATCAAATGTATATAATGGTATATATTATATCTGAGAACTGAGAGTCTATATAATATTTTGTTGTGGACAAAAAGTGAAAAAAAGAAGACTTTGAGAAATTGTTACAAGGACCTTTATATTTTCATGTACTAAGGTCAGAGGAACAGTGAATCATCTGTTGAAAGCGATTGTCTATTCATGTACTGCTTCTTTTAGTGCTCTACAACATTTATCTTTTCTCATGTATAAGAAAAAAAAAAAAATCAATCATTGGATCAGTTATCCACCTCCATGTGCTTCCAAAAAGAGATTGTGAGTATGATCCAATAACATCTCTAATTTAACAACAACATACATTGTTTCCTTCATCATTTCATATCTCATGTAACCATTAGACATGGGTTTAACTAAGCCATAAACTCCCATGTATTACTGCAATCAAATCCCACCTAAAACCAAGGAATTGCTCGAACGAATCCCCTCGAATACTCAAAACAATATTCTCGATTCTCTGTATCTTCTGCTTACTATAATCGTCGACTCTAGATAACTTTCTAATCAGCTGTTAGTTACGCGGACGCGGCGATATGCATTGGCTTTACTCTTATGCCTCTTATCTATTTACTTTACAGAAAAGAGATTCTAGTCAGACAAGGGACTCTAAGGCCTAATCACAAGGCAGCTTCAGGTTAAGAGAATCTATTGCTCGAAAACCATAGGTAGTGAGGTAGCTATAGCTTGGTTATGACTTACGAGTAAGATTGCCATTTTCAACAATCCTTTTAAGTGGATGCTTTGTCAAAAAGAAGCTGTCGAAAACTATCTGCGTATGGCACCAAAGCTAAATCATTGATTAGACAGAAAGTTTCCCATAACAGAGATAAACTTATCATGACCACTCACTACTTACAAATGCTCGGGTTGTATGCGCACATGTTCAAACTTTGAGTGCAGTAACAAGTGCTAATCTTTAAAGGAAGACGCATTTGTTGACTTGACACCATAGGTTGATAAATCAACAGGTAATGCAAAATATGTTTTCGAGCTACTTTCGTTTCGATCTTTACTTAGCCACAGGTGATTTTTTTTTTCCAAAAGGGCCCATGAAGATTCAGGAAAAGATACTTACTTGTTGACTTGAAGGCTAATTGATCTCCGCCTAATGGTTTAGTGGCTCTTGCAGGTGGAAGAGGGACCCTCTACCATGTGCCATTATCACTAGACTTTTGAAGCTTTTGGCTATAGTTAAGAGGCTCAGTGGCCTCTTCCTGCAGTAAGGGTTCGTCCTGCAAATAAAGAGTTATGATCATAACAAGACTTAAAGTACATCTATGAAACGACTACTCAACTTTTCCCCTGAAATCTAACTGATATCTAATGCTTTTTAACAACTTTCTATGGTCCAGCCAACTTTTTCCTGCAACAGCATTATGGGAGACTATTACAGATAGCATGGATTTAAATCCACTTACAATGACTTGGTTAAGGTCAATAGTGTTTTTAACATGGGAAGAAAAAATGTGTTAGGAATAACAAAAATAATTGAAACTCTTTCTTACTATAACTTAAGAGTTGCTTACTGTTGTTTAAGCAGTTTCAAACAATTACCTGAGTCCTTCACAGATAAAGGATATCCCTGCAATGAAGCAGCTTGTGCTCAGCAAAAGACCTGGAGAAATGGAATCTGAATAAGCTGTAAAAGGAATAAAAACCATGACCATATATCATCAAGATTCATCACAAAATTTCTTGTAATTTGTCCTCCTCGCTGCAGTTTCACAGGGAAGAGGCTGTGAAAACTGGAATTTAGACCTCTGAAGAACATGTATCAAGCTAAATGTTTTTCTTTTCTAAGAATTGCTTCACAAACAGGCTACATTGTGCGTAAAAGAGTAGGTTGTTGATAGAAATATCTCGATTCTTGTGGTACAATCAAAGAAACCAAGTTCTAGCTAAGTACATCCTCGCAAATCACATAATGGATCCTGATTTTGGAGCTAACTAAAGGTCAGGTAGTCTTTTTCGAGTTGTCAGCTTCATCTGCAGGGGCTTCAGGCTCTTCCTTCTTCTGCATAACTTGCTGCAGTCCCTCGTGGTAACCTTGTATAAAGCTTGTGAGAGCATCTTTATATTGAGAAGCTCGTGTCATGTACAAACGATGTAAAGCAGGCCTTAAAGTCTCCATGCCACCTCTTGCAGCTACCGCTGTATAGAAGTGTAACATAAAAAATGTGAAAAACAAGCGATAATCAACAAAAGGAAAACAATACATTATCGATGAAGTCAATAAACTAACGAATGACACCAAAGGTGAAGTATTCCACTCTTGTACATAGCATAACATATTGTTCAATGGGAAAGAAACTATATTACTTGTAATATGCATTGTTAACAGTAAGAATAAGATGAGCTCGCCGGATTAAAATTTGGAATGACCACCATCACCAACTTTGACAACTTTCATTTTGAATATAAGTCAGATACAATCAAAACAGGATGTAGCATAAGAGCAGTTCTTACCAAGATCCTCCAAAACAGAGGGCTCTTTCTCTGTCTCTTGGGCTTTCTTTTTAGGTTCATCATCACCGCCCTTCTTGTAATCATTTGGACGAAGCTCGGGACCTATATCTCGTACCCAGCTTGCAGCATAAAGCCTTGAAGCTTCCTTCAACACCTAAATTACAAACAATGAATGTTTCATCCAATGGTTAAGCACCAGATTAATTTCATCTACAGGAGAAAACAACAATTACTCTGAAAGCATCTTAGTCATATATCAGAAAAGGAAGAACCTTTTTGCTCAAAACAAGACAAATCGCACATTTCGTCTCCAGATTTTCCACAGTATACATAACGAAATCAAAACTGGGCCGATTAAACATACCAACTTGAAGGATTCATTCGATTCGAAATCAGACATAATATCAAACGAGTTCGAGAAGATTAAGCACGACAAAAATGCTAAAACTGTTGATCTTTAGAAGAAGAGTAAAATTTATCAACTTTGAAGAAGATTGCGAATGCCCAGAACCCAAAAAGTAGAGAATTACAAGAAATGAATAAAAAAGTGGAAGGAGAGTGAGGGAAAGCTCACGAGAAATCGTTCGTGCCAAGTCAATTTGCGGCGTTTGACGACGTGAGGAGGATCGGGAAGTGATGAAGGTAAGACGATTTCTTTGAGATCGTAACGGATGTAGTCGGAGACTTTACGATACACAACCTTCAGCTTCATCTTTTCACTTTCGAAGAGAAAGCCGTTTAAGTTCGCCGATCGGAGCTCAGTACTCAGCTACTTGAGTTTTACCGTCGCTGGTTTCTCTATTTTGAGATGGGCTTAAATGTTTGGTTTAGGTTCCGGTTCAGTCTGATCATGAATCATGATTGATTTTCCCGGTTTAGTTTGTAGAATTATTATTATTATTTTCTTTTTTTTGACGTAGTCAATGTAGGTTTATTTCCTTTGTCGGTTGAACTACTAAAGGACGAGGGTTAAGCATGAATGGGTGTCCTAAGGGCAAAGAAGTAGTGGAAGAGATGAGGATTGTTGCATGAATGGGTGTCCTAAGGGCAAAGAAGTAGTGGAAGAGATGAGGATTGTTGCATGAAGTATCTACTACTGCATAGTGATAAATTTTATCACTTAGAAAACAAAATTATCTTTTTAGGATATACTTTTATTTATATCATGATCAATTGCATTACATCTTATATTTTAGTTTTTTTTTAAAAATTTCATACTATTTTAACCATTTATAGAATATGGATTCTCCCTCATGAATCTCGCTATATCTATAAAGACCATCATTTCTTGCTTTCCATGTACAATTTCTACATCTCCAGAAATCTTTTTGTGCACTGTAAAAATCGAACACGCCCTTATTTACTTGTCATTGACTAAATCCATAAAAACAAAGTGTTGTATTGAGATAATTAATACGAAATTTCCAGCAAATTGATTCGCCTTTAGCAAAATGTGAAATCCAATATTATCATCTCTAGATTTACAATGTACTCCAAGAAAATAATCGTTATCGTTTTGAATTACCATCTTTATACGAGGAGATACCACTGGAACATGTTCATCTCGTTGAAGAGTGTCACAACAAATCAAAGATTTCACAACTACGCATATAGTAAGCATCGATAAAAAAATGGATTTGATATTTCTTGTAGATAAATTTATCATAATGGTTGGCTAGGGATAATATTGTTTTTTTATGATTCACAGTTTTTTTTTATAGCGTAATATCAATATATAGACAATATATAATTATATTAATTTATGTGAATAGCCTAAATTAGTCATAAAATCACTAGACATATCTAAGTAATTACAAGAAATAAAATTTGTTTAAATAGCCATAATTAAATATATAGAATATCCAATTTCCAAAAATGCCACCAAAATTATATTATTTAATGTTGGGTTAACTATTTTATGTTAAGATTTTGTTTAAGGATTTAGAGTTTTAGGGCCAAAACCTTTTCAATGTTTAGAATTTTAGGGTTTAAGGTCTAAAAACTCTTTAACTAGTTGCATTTTTGAAAATAAACAAATCATTATGGTATTTGAAAATAAACACACCAAAAATGATATTTTTGCAATCATCCCAAAATAGTTTCTAAGATATTTTCCTTCAAAATTATAAATAAAAACTTCAAAAAGTATACTATGAAAATATCATCAAAAGCTTTAAAAACCCTACTTCTCGTTACGAAAATGTCCATGACATGTTTAAACATGCATACGATATCTAGAAAACCTGTGAAATATTTTGTGGGGGCTATTGGTTCTTGTATTTTAATGGATTTGACATATTTATATTAGGGATAATTACAAAAATGCTACTTTTAAAGTGTTACTTTTTAAAAATATCACTATAGATCGTTCATTTGCATAAGTGCCACAAATTAAA